CGAAGCCTGGTACCCTAATGCGGACAGTATAAACGGACATGTTGACCTTGACGTTCCCTACGAGTCCATTCGATTAGGGTGGACCGACTGGCATCAATCTTAACAATAACAGCTCTCAATGCATGCTTGGACATGCTGAACTTCACCTATACGCCATATCCTCCTACCACCCCTCTGACACAGTGAGTCGCACCTCAGGCTCCATTCGCCTCGGCTTACGTCTGACAGTCACCACAACACGCTGCGCACGCTCGCAAGGTCGTTTGTCATTCTCTCTGTCTGCGTTCTTAAACACCAGGGTAACAAACTCACCTCTCAGTTTTCATTACGCCTGATGACAAGCAAGTGATACCTGCTTGAAAATTTGCGAGTAAAATTCTTCTTTCCGACGAGCCTTCTCTTTTCTTCAAATAACCTCGGAATGCCTACCACTTCAGCTATTCATTATATATGCTTATATACCTACTGTGCGTTATTTATAGACGTAGTTATGCTTACTGCTGCACCCCAAAACTCGGAAACATTTAGCTTTCTGTAGTTTCTTTTACTTTTATTATTTTTAAGTTCGTTTTAGGTTTATTAATTTAATTTATCGTTTTAACCTAATTTTTATTTCAATTTGATTTTCTAAACGACGTACAATATCTCTCCAAATCCATTAGAAACTATTGTATGTTTAAAAATGGAAGAGAAACCTGTTTCATGGTTTTATTTTAATCTCTTAATTTCGCTTTATTTGCATGCCTATTTGCAAGTACTTTTGGGCAATCCTTATTTCCTACTGATCGTATTTGTCATTTTTCTTATCGCGCGCAAAGTTTTGGTTATTTAAATAAGTATTTCTAATTATTTTCTACTTTCATTTGCTAAACTTTTTAATCATTGTTTTTCCCGTGGTATGACCCAGCCATATAACTTCTATAAATACCACTTTCGTAAGACAGAATCCTGGGGCTATGGATACCTAAGGACCTCGGTCAACTTTATAATTGGCGGTGAACTGCTTCGCACTTGTATGTCTATGATTTTCCTTGATATACCGTCTCCTTAAAAAAGCAAGATTGATCACCCATAATGTTACATCATTGACAGTAAAATTCAATTTTCAGTTGGC